GAACAATAGGTGTTACAGTGAGAAATGAACGCTTAGAACAATGGTACACGTGACCTGTAGTGGTATAACCTCATTAGTCGGTCGTCCATGTTAGGATAACTTACCCACAGCCATAAATTTCCACTTCACATAATGTCAACGTTTGTCTCTTGCCTCTGATCTGGATACTGAGAAACATTCCATACAGTGGTGTTGTGCATACTATGGTGAAAGACAAGCTTGCAGTTTGAGACGCTTTAAGTCTGTTTGCACACAATTCATTTTGTATAATAGATGGGTTGGCACCAACTCTTATTTCAGCGTCTGTAAGACTTGAACCTGGAACATATAACGGTGATTGGTAATTAATACTCGTATATTATATTATATTATATTATATTATATTATATTATATTATATTATATTATATTATATTATATTATATTATATTATATTATATTATATTATATTATATTATATTATATTATATTATATTATATTATATTATATTATATTATATTATATTATATTATATTATATTATATTATATTATATTATATTATATTATATTTTACAATTAAGAACGAATATTATAATCAATCTTTCTAGTCGTTTTCAGGATAGGAATAGTCAATTGAAATGAGCTAATTTAATGACACTAAATGAATCTTGATATTGAAAAATAAAAATCAAACAAAACAAATCACATTAACCAGTGAAGACACATAAATCAAATCAATCCGTCAAGTGGGTGCTGTTTTGGTGTTCGGAACAGAGTAGCGGTGACAGTAATGGTCCTATAAGGGCGTACAAGCAGTGAAAACTTTGATGAAATGAGTAGTTTGTCTAACTTTACTTCCTGGAGAATAACTAATAATAATAACTGCAAGAACTAAACTAGAAAAATAACTGCAAGAACGCCCATCAAGCACAGATTAAGAAAAGAGTTAAACCCATGGAATTGACTTATTCATCATCGATTTGTCAGTTGAATTGGTAGTTAATGTTTCTACCTTATATACACTATTATAATACATGGCAATGTTATGCATTATGAACATTAAGTATCAATATTGCAATAGGAAAATGTGCTGTCTTGCTGTCAGTTATGTCTTCATTTGTATAAAGCTTAATTTGTATAGAAATTGGTTAAAATAGTAGTCAAACCCTGTAATTCGACATCAACAATCCTAAATTTACCATAAGGTCTATATATTTTTCCTTATTGATTTGGCTATGTTGTGTAATGTACTTGTCAGTTCTTTCTAGTATTTTGTATTTTTAATCACCCTATACGACTTTTATTTTTATTTTATTTTATTTATGTTATTTCTCAAATGCAATCAATTAGAATGTCGATGTTTCCGTTACTATTTCACTGGTATCATTATGAATTTATGGACGTGTAATTATTTTTAGTTCTATGACATTTGGAATTTTCCTTCAAAATATTCAAGATGTTGCTTAGTGATCCAATACATTTAAACAGATGTATGACTTGTGTGCATGAATAGCCTTTAAAATACAATTAGCTGGAATAATTAGTCTGAATACCCTGCGTCATTCTTTATACTTGCGACTTATCCAAGTTAAATTTTAAAACGTGGTTCATTTCTTAGTGGCTGTTATTGCCTTATCCTATACACTGCAGGTATATGAGCGTAGAGCTATTCTGCTTTTTCAGGTGTGGTACAGAGAAATAGTAGTAATTATAGGCATAATGTGATTGGTTAGGTCTTTGTGTAATGCGTTTCACTTTTTCGAGATGTGTGTTTAAGAGAATGGTTACATATCATTGTTTGTTTTATTTTTTGCATTGATATTCCTCTATACACTCTACTGTATTGTACATTACTTTGTTCGGGTCTTTCCAGCAGCATCTAGGTCTAATAGGTTCGACAATTACTGAAATATTTAACACTACGATACAGATTTTGCGTTTTCGACATTGTGAAAACAATTGATTTTGACTCGAGAACATATGTTATACCGATTACACGTGAATGTGAATATTTTGATATATTTTTTGAAATTTAATTTATTTTAAATTATGATTATATGTAGCTGAATGAAATTACAAGATATGAAGCTTGTTAACCAACTTTATTGAATATTAGAAAAACGGAATTGATTATTGTTGTATGTTTTGTACGTTTTTCCACTTTCTATGTTTCAAGCTATAGTTTTGGTGATATACAATGACTCACCATCCAAGAATTTATCACCCCAAAAAGTCGCAAAGGCCATGTTGGGTTTAAAAATACTTATTGACAAATATAATAGTCTGTGCCTGGTGAACGTTACGGGCATTGTCGTCTCGCCTAACTTATAATGCAGGTGCAAGTGATAACAGGACATATAGTATATTTTCAGCAGAATTTTAACATTGCATAAAAATTCAACTGTGTCCAATTCATTTGCCACAATTGTTATTAAACGTATTTTAAATATTGCAACAAGTTGGACACAGTAACTATCACATTACATAGTGTCATAGACTGGCAAAGTTCTTTTTTGTTTTACAAAATGAAATAATTGTTGTTTTAGTCCTTTCAGCGTGATCGCAAAAACTAATCCTGACTGGACGCATCCGCATTTGACTGCTATTAATTATTCATGATGTCATTGATCATTCCTGAGTGGTTGTGTGAAAGTAAACGTGACCTTTTAAAAATTGGTCTTTAAAAATGGATACTTTAACTGTTTTCAGTGCAACGGCGATACTTTCATCCATTTTTACTGAAAACCAGTCGATTTAAATGTCCAATGTATACAAGTATTCTTTTAAAGTCGCCGGGACCTCAGAAGTGAAAGGTCACGTACATTAAGATAGATAAGATATGATGTATACAGCTGCACTTTGATTCATTGTCAATGCTAGTCAACATATTTTAATTGGCATAATCACCGGAGTGAATCCGCTCTGGCTTTCACTCCAACGCAGGAGATCGCCTGCAGATGCGCCCAGTCGGGATTTCTTTTGCAGTCACGCTAGTTTTTGCGATCACGTTAAAAAGGCAAAATTGAAATTGATTATATTTTTTTGTAAAACACAAAAGGAGTCCCGACTTTGCCAGTCTAATAATGTCATAATAATTACAACTAAGACGTATACCCATCATTTCAGGTAAATGAGATATCAAATCACGTACTTACCTGGATCCCCATTATGCTTTATGGTAACTTCATATACCCGAAAAGTTGAACCAAACCAAATTGTCCAGAATGGTTCAGAGATATACTGTGTCTTAGCACATGTATGAATATCACCATCGCGTGCTTTATTGGAGGCTGAAGCGTTTACGTAGTTGCTAGTCTGCATTGTGACTTTAGACAATGGCGAAATATTCACTAATTGGACATCTGTAAGCAAATATGTTTTTTTTTATCATTTTAAGGGTCCACATATTATAGTAGACACATTAACAATAAGCATAATAAGTAAATCGGAAAAACCTGCATCTGCACCTTTTGGAAATTAAGAGCGGGGGTTTGCATTGTTCAATAAAATGCAGATGTTGCTGTTTTAAGCTTATGTTTAATTTTAGTAATACAGCTAAATGGTTAGATCACTGAAATCCTATCATACAGAGAACAATGTTTCTGGAGAACATCAATATAACTGACAGATAATAACAATCATCCCACTGCAGTCAATACAAAACAGTATATATCCATGACCAATATTACACCTTGAACTTGTTTGTAGGAACCACATTTGACATTTCAACATCAACATCAACGTTGTTTAACAGAATAGTGAATGCAAATGGGTTATTGCTGTTTTCATATAGTTTTATATATATAAAACACGACAAGTTGCCTTGATACTTAGTATATATGTACCTTTAATGGACCTGTCAGATGTATACGTTTTTTGATGATGTCTTCAACTATCTATATTTGGCGAATATTTTCGTCATTTTCGGTGAAAAAAGGCTATTTTCGACTTTTTGAAAACTACCAGTTCAACTGCTTCGATACTTCGTATCAAATTGAGCTGGCAGTTTTCAAGAAGATGTCTTATGGACGTGCGTTGCAGGACGACTATGTCACTACGTGTTATATCGTTTGAAACAACCTTTCTAATGATCCTGAAGGAACTGTCAACATGACATGACCTTGATCTTTATGAACACCTTCAACCAGCATGCCAGAGAATATATATAATTAATTGTTACATAGGAGTGTAACCAGTTACACTAACTCGGTTCCCTGTCCATGGAGTAGACAGTTGTTAAACATGTATTATACTATGCTCATGCTTATTCTGACATTAATGATATATTTCATAATTTAGTTGCAATAGCACTTGACAATTGTTACATGACTATTTTTATGCCCAAAGTGCCAAGGGGTAATATATTGCATTTCGCCATGGAAGCCATGTTCTGCCATATATACCATGTATTCATTTTTGGTCCTTGACACAAGACCATGACAACTCAATGCATTATACTGGTACCCCCTAGCCCGACTTCACATAAACTCATCATAATCCTAACCAAGGTTTTTTTTCCCACAGGGAATTGAAATAATTCAGGTAAATAATTCATAAAGGGTGGTTTGTTCCCCTTCACTTATACACACTCATTACAACGCTCTTAAAACAGGCCAATGTATATTTGGTGTTTATGTTATAGATTTATTACTCTCAACTTAAAAACAATTTCCTGTTCTTGATTGCAACGTGTGACCTCTATAGTCTTATTTATGTCTGCTGACGAATAGGTGGTTTGAGCACTTAAATATTCCTCATCCATGGAATACTCCTGCATTCTGTTAATACGTCACACTGGTTTTAATTATCTCAGACCTATTCACATCTGTTGCCACAATAATATAAACAAGTCATCGTAGATGACAAGTTTCCATCCAGATTTTAGTGACTGTTAACATTATGTGACTTTCTTGATATTAAGTAGAGCTAATTTATTAGTGTGACTCCTTCTTTTTCTTTCTGCCTTGTCATCTTGAATCAGATGCTGGAACAAATGCACATGGCACAGATGTACATATATTATGTGTTTCGACACTGTCAGCCCAGCCATATTAGCGTAGAGCATTCATTAAAATCATTAAGCCATTTTGAATCTAATTAGGGAAAAGATAACGTGCATCAAGGACTTATATTTAATGGATATACCATGCACGATGAAGATCCAATTCTTGAATGATAGGGATGCTTGGTTTTGATGTATTATTCGGCCATTCGGCCATCATGAATTTGGTCATGAAAAAATGCATGTGTTTATGCATGATATGTGTGTTGTATGTGTATTCGTTGAATGTTGTCTGACAGATCATGTCAGAAATATTACTGCTGTGGTTGTTCAGATAGTTCCAATGAATATAATTACGCCAAATAACCTTATTAGATTTCGTAATATTGGTGTAAAAACTGAAAAAAGGTTAATAATAATGCAAATAAGGTTATTAGTATTTACAAATCTTACCGAAAAACTAATCAATTCTGCGCAATATTTTAGAGCATCTATGTACCAAGTTGCATTGAAATCCAATGAGAAGTTTTTGAGTTCTTAATATAGAGACCGGCAGACAAAAATACATATTACGATATCGATAATACGATGGCTACAACAAATATTTAAACTACATAATTAAACTAGAAATGTTTTGTTTTTGAACACTGGCGAACATCAGATTCCATGTGTACTTAATTCAACAAGTCATTGAAAATGACACAGTCCCCGTTAAATGTTTGAAAGTTCTCTTTGTTCTCGTCATATTAAAGCGGAGGGATTGTCGCGAGCGTGTCCTTGAAACTTGAGTTCCAAGTGGCGTATAAAACAAATTGTTTATTTACATCAAAACACGTGTTCCTTGTAGTAGTAATATGGCCAAAAATAAAAAACAGCCGTTATTCGGCCATCTTTGATCTGATTATGAAACACACTGATACGTATGATGTATGTGCCAAATATGAATGAAAATGGTACATAAATTGTGGAAATATAGCAGTAAGGCCAAAAAGTCACATGGCTGTCAATCGGCCATCCTTGACCAGATTTTGAAACAAATTGTCATGGACATGCACCCTAACATGTATAAAGTACATGTATGTGCCAAATTTAATGAAGACTGACAGAGCATGTTCAAGATACCGCATAAAAAAACCAAAAAACAAGATGCTTGTCAGTCGACTATCTTTGATCCAATTGCAAAATAAATTGTCATGGACATGTATCCTAACATGTATAATCTATGTACCAGGTTCGAATTACAACTGACAAAGCATGTCTAAAATGCAACATTTTCAAAAAACAAGATGGCTGCCAGTCGGCCATTTTGAATCGAATCGCTAAATAACTGCATGTGCATATGTCCCACATAAAGTACTATGCACCTGCAAAGAATGGACGGAATCGGTCCAAGAGATTCTGAGATATGACTCCGGACGGACGCACGGACGCACGGACGGAGACTGAATTATAAGTCCCCGTTTTCGGACTTCGTTAATTACTGGTACAATGGCATATATCTTTGACATTACGAGTTGTATGGTTTATTTTGTCTTATAGATTATTAACACTAATATTATGGACCTTTATAGAATATTACCACGAACATGCCAAAAATACAATATAAAAAAGTTTTTTTCTAAGCAACATACATCTATTATATTCTTCAATTACAAACTCCCGTTCAACAAACAACTCTTTTGTTCAAGGTAATGGCGCACATTTTAAATCAATATCTCCGCAAATATCCCGGTGTTAACGACATATATCCCGGTGTTAACGACATATATACCCGTGTTAACGACATATATCCCGGTGTTAACGACATATATACCCGTGTTAACGACATATATCCCAGTGTTAACGACATATATCCCGGTGTTAACGACATATATCCCGGTGTTAACGACATATAACCCAGTGTTAACGACATATATCCCGGTGTTAATGACATATATCCCGGTGTTAACGACATATATCCCGGTGTTAACGACTTATATACCCGTGTTAACGACATGTGTCCCGGTGTTAACGACATATATCCCGGTGTTAACGACATATATCCCGGTGTTAATGACATATATCCCGGTGTTAACGACATATATCCCGGTGTTAACGACATATATCCCGGTGTTAACGACATGTATTGTAACGCTATACATCGCCACGTTATTACAATCAAGGTATAAACCTAGAAACTGTTGTCATCAATTGAACAAATCGGAAACACCCAATAATTGCAAATTCACACACCTAAATGAATCTGCATACATAGTGAGCATAACAACACTAAATATAATTCAAAAGAACAACCAATTTTATTGTCAATTTCAATGTCAATTTAAATTTTTTGAAATAATTTATGAACAGGAAGCATATATTCATACTATTTTGATTGTTCCAATAATAATGTAGCGCAAACACATTCTTACCACAGACATTGGCGCTTTCATCACTACCATCTCGACAATCGTATATACCGTCACAGGTTTTCACATTGGAAATACACTCCAATGACAAGATACATCTATAATCTGTTGTCATGTCACATTCTGAAAATATCGATAATATATAAAGAAATTAAATGTATTCCCAATATATTGATAAACCGACATTGGATATTACAGTAAAACCTGTCAAAACCGACCATGACTGGGTCTGGGATCTATGGTAGGTTTTTAGAGGGAGTCGGTTTATTCAGGGTGGGCGTAACTCAATTCGATTGAAACAACAATTACATGTGCTGTAAACACGGGATAAATGAAAGACACCGGAGTTTGCCTCCCTGTGATTATATTTACATTTATTGTATTGTTTCAATAAAATAATTTACCAAACAAGACAAGAATATTATGATACGTACATAAAATCAATAAATATTAAAATAACTGTTCGAACAGACCGGGTAAGTATCACGTATCGTAACTGGAGGCGTCCATTTTGAATGACATCACAACGTAAGTTCACGTGAGCTACATGTAATCATCATAATTTTGCTGTTAAGTCAATGAATTAAATTACGATGTAAAAAAAATCATCAAGTTTTGACTGCTTTAAAGAATATCTTTTTTCAACAATTTTGTTTTCCGTTCGAATTTTAAGATCTTGGATATCTGTCAAGTAACTGGAGTCTTTGTTCATTGCGAAGTTCTGTAATCTCGTCACCATGCGTCAAATCACTGTCGTTGTGGGGGTCGATAATTTGACTGTCGCTGCAATTTATGTCATCGTTGTTTGTAGATTCCTTTCTTTGTCTGCAATAAAATTCTCAACGATATGTTGTTCTCTCTCGCCGTCATACGTCGCTACACTGTGTTTGAGGGTCTGCAACTTTCTAAAT